GAAGTCTTTCGCAATCCACCTAAGACAGGCTACTTCGAAATCGAGTTATGTGATGCTTCAAAATTACCTTCCCCATTTATCGCACGTTAGCATGTTGTCAATTCCCAACCCAATGCTAATTATCTTTAGGTCAGGGGTCTGAGTAATCGTATTCGGATAGCAGGTAACGATCGCTCTTTCACAGGTCGTACTGTCGCTGACGTACCTATACGAATTGAAGAATCTTGAGAAGTACTTATTTGATCACTTACTTCACAATTGGAGCGGTGCAGGTCAGGCCTGGTGCGCATGTGATAATGAGCTTTGGGCAGCGATTTTCACAGCTCTTGCGTCCTCTACGGCGATTACGGTGCTCGGGAGATTCCGAGCTTGAGCGGTAGCGATGGCGATGGCGACGGCGATGGCTTTGACGTAGCTAAAGCAATTTTCTACGGTACACAATTGCATGATGTATTTACTAATGCTCACAAATTCGTGCGGGGCTGGAAGTTCCGGAAGCAGAACCGATCTGAGGATTACCGGTGGTGGAGGTGGTGGTGGAGGTGGAGGTGGGGGAGCATAGACCGCAGGAGGTTGTACTGCCGGTGGACATGGGGCGTAAACCTGACCGGGTATATGCCTTCCACAATTTGCATAGGAATAGTGAGCCACAACTGTCAGCAGAAGCAAACGAAACATTTTTGATTTCTGTAAACAGATTTCTTCTTATGACTGTTATCTGAAGTGGGACATATTCATGTACTTTAGGGGGAGTTTGTAACTATTTGCATATTACGGCGCTTTCTGGTGCTATTTGTAGGTCAAGTGATTGACTAGACGTAGCATAATGTACTACTATTACACAGCTTGTCTATGAAGCTGAATTTCAAAAACCATTAGTCGACTGTAGTAGAGTCTGGAGATATATGATATTAACTCATCAAAATAGCCAACAAAGCGAAATTCGAATGATTAGCTGCAATTTTAGCAACCAATTTATATGGAGCGTTTTTAATAAAGGTCATTTGTTGTGTCTGTATGAATGGTAGGGTCAGATGTTCATTTCATTGAATCTAATTAAATCGAAAATCTAATTGAAATTCCTTCACATTCCTCGAGGCACTGACATACCAAGCTCTCATTCTGTTTGGTCTGTCTTGTTGTAGGAATCTTATTAGTTCGATGATTGGACGACGACTCACCTAAATTCGCGGATGGGCACTTGGAACAATGCTGTCGTAGGGGTAATAACGGGTTACACATCAAGAATAGGTCTACGTCGATATATGGTTATCCACAATCGGCCATCCGAAAGCCACGAACAAAGGCAGTCCGCTCAGCTCACTTCCTGATTGGTTCTGTTTCATAGCACCATTGAGTCCCCGTTCGACTCTGCACTGCGGCTGCTTCTTTCATCTCGGTATAGGTACCGCTGTAATTTGTATACACATCGCTTCCCAAACAACACAAGCTCGGTCGCTCAAGCTGGAACGAGTGATTACTGCGTGATTTATTTCTGTTGTTATTGTTTAGATCAGCGCTGGTGTGTGGCTAGCTGGACGATCTATAGCAGTCGCCAATTCGTGCTCGGCTCGTTGTTGTCACATGCACGACCATCGGGAACTCGCAACACAAAGCGCGTCCGTCGTTGTTCGGCTCGGTTCGAGGACAAGTGTGAACATGCGAGGACATCTTGAACGACGTACGGTCCTCGTACGGTCCTTTGTTGGCTCGCAACCGCCACTTTCACCCACTCCCACAAGAAAGCACACTCTCCTGAACCCGTATGAAGCAGCAAGTTACCGTAACGCGTTGGGGAACTCTTCAGCTAAGTTAATGGATATGCTGAAACTTCGCAGCTAGGCTAATCCAGTTATTTCAACATTCATTGTAAATGCAATTTCCCATTTTGTCGGCGATACCACAAAAAAACGGTTTAGGGACCAGCAACGGTATCGGAATGCTGCAGACACAAATTCACACTTCGAACCCCTGTGGTTGATGGTTGATTTGGGCTAATACTGTATGATTAAACATCATATTCTTCAAGTCTAGTTTTGACTAACATCAACATCCTCGGCTGGAGTCTCAATCTCATATCGCAAGCATAATTTACTGACGCGAAGTATGTAGAAAAGAAAATCAGCAACCTAAGGGTACTCATTACAGCCTAAAGCTGCCTGTAATATAACTTCGTAGAAGACTCTCTGCAAGTCAGAAGTGAGTAGAAGACGTATATGTGGCGATATGAGTCTCTCCATATTCTTAATTTGATAGTGACAACAAACGAACTGTTTCCATACACAGTTTTACATGTTATCACCAAATAAAAAGTAATGTTTCTCAATTGTATAGGGCTATGTATTGTCTCGTACGTTTCCCAACGGTTGGTTTGTGTGTATGTGGATCCGCTAGAATACAACAGCTGGCTCCAAAGCAATGTTTGCAGTCTGTCTATTCACCATTTTCTACACCTGCTTTCGGTTGATTGGAAGAAAGAAAAAATATGCCTTAGTTTCTGCTGACTAGTCGTAATTGGCATTCTGCATTTTGAGAAAAAAAACCTTACCGTTACTTTCTTTCCACCGCGACTATTATAAAGTCAGCTGCGTGATGCCTTGCACAAACCGTAGCACACTTTGTCAAAGACGTATCTTATTGTTAGCTGGTCAAAAATTCCTTGCAAAACACATGCATTTCTTCGTACCATACGGCCCTTCATTAGCTTTAGTCTGGTGGTCGTTCTCTGTTTCATTATGTCTCTGCTCTTGCAAATTTTATCTATCTCTGGAAGTTTCGTGTTGGTATACCCATTCCCATAGGTGCTTAAATGTAAGACAATGCCTTTTTATCTCTTAATTGACTTTACCATAATGTGGCTTTGGCTTTCAACATTTTTTCAACATCTTGATGCGAACTCTTGAAAATCTTCGAATGCCAAAAGAGCTGGTTGGGAATATCAACAAGTCATTGATTTTGCCAATATTTAGGGAACTAATAAGAGCATATGCAAAATTAGTAGAGGGGATGGGAGAACGGTAACAGCTTCCACAAACTTGATTTATTCCGTAGATACTTATCAGCCGCATTAAATGTATGAGAGTGACACAAAGTCTGCAAGTGATGTAAGAATAAAACGAGATTTGGGGTAAGGAGGTTCGAGGTTTTTGTAGGGTTGTGTGAGAATCTGTAGTAACTTTTACACATGTAATATTCTTGCTTTTTTAACAACCTACACCAGTCCAATAACTTTATATTCAAATGCCCCCTTCATAGTAAAGATCACCACAGTATGATTCAGCAGGCAAGTGATACTTGAAGTATCTGGTTGACCATCTGCAAGTACTAGAAATAGGCCATGTGTCTCACAACCACATGATCAAAGCTGCAATAATTCTGACTCATGCAACGAAAGTAATCCTGTACATCGTCTTGAAGACTGTTTTTTGGAAGACTTCCATGAAACAGCTGTACTCTGATGACTACTTTGTCGCTGTGTAACTTGCGCTAAGTCCTCAGCTTTGGGCTATGCAATATTGAGAGCTGTACATTTTGATGATGTGAGGCGATCAACTCATCGGAAAGAGTTCGTATCAACAGATAAATTTTACAAAATATTTGGAAAGTAGTGACAATTTACCGTTTTAGTGAAATCGTTCGTTTCCATATAAATGCTGGCCAGAACTATATAGCTAACTAACTATACTAACTAGAACTATATTATAGCTGGCCAGAATCTTGAGGTACTTGATGTATAATCTTGTCAAATTTTGTAAATTTGACATTGGAAATGTCGAATGGTCTACTTGAATCTGACTTTGTTCTTGAGCTTGGCGTCGACCTTCTTTGTAACTAATGCAATAT